GCTCCTCTAATTTACCGAGATCTTTACCACGTGTCCTCCGCGCCTCTGCAGGGATCCTCGCAGGGCCGTCGCCTCTCGCAACTCGACGCAGGTCGCGCGTTCTCGTTTGGCCCAACGTTGCCCCCCTTTTTAAAAAGAATAAAAAATTGTATTGCCACGCTCGTTCACTCCCTCCCCGTCGGAATTTTTTGGTGAAATCGTCGCGACGAGGCCGCCGTCGTCGTCGCAGCCGCTGAAGGTGTCCGCCGTAGCCCCATGGCGTTTTGTTGTTGTTGTTATTGTTGTTGTTAACGTAAATAATGTGGCCCATTATGACGACGTTTTTCATTGTTTTGGGGGCTTTAGTTTTGTCGCCGACCTGCAGTGGCAAGTGTACGTGTGTAAGTGTGTATGATTATGACGTTGTCTTCTGCGGTTTATAGATATATGTTTGTATTATTCTTCAACTTAATGCCCTTCGTGACGTTCCATTGCCTCAAATTCATTTCGTTGACACCGCAACCTTTGGTGGCGACACGTTTAGACATTAAACTCTTTTCTTTAGAACTGCTTTTTTGTGTTTCCTTTCTTGTCCTCACCCCCGCCCTCTGCCCCCCGGCACCTCCGATTAACACGGTTGGCTATGTACGACGCGAAAGAAGTACAACATACATACAGTACATACAATCAGACGTAGGGAGTTGTTTGAACCTACTTCGCCACGTTGGTCAGTTCAGGTTCGGTGGCGAGATGTTAACTCCCTCGCCTGGTGTACAGGAGGTCGCGGGTTCAATCCCGACCCTGACGCCTGATGCATATTTGGAATTTGCGTCCCTCTCTCTCCCCCCGTGGCCACGTGGATTTTTCTCCCTCCACATTTAGAATAAAAGACGCGTTCAGAGTTTTTGGCTGCTGCTCTAAACCTCCACGTGAAAAGCCACTTCGTTGAGCTCATCATTTGTGGGCATGTCACTTCTGACAAAAAGAGCTCTATATGCTCAGTGGGCCTTACCTGGTAAAATAAAAACAAAATAAAAGTTTAGAATGGGGGAAACTATGACCGAGCCCGCACGGGGGACACGGCGAGCGCCACGACACTTGAGTGTTTGTCGGCACGTTGACCCGCAGAGGGGGGGGGGGGGGGGGGGGGGGGGGGGGGGGGATCACAGGGCGACATTGGAGGTTTTGCTGCCTGATGCTGGACTCGTGCCGAAGAACCCCGAAAAAAACGGGGCCGCAGTTGACCCGTTTGTCTACCAAGAGGTTGCCAATCGTGACCGGACTCGGTCGGTCGGCGAGCGAGCGAACGAGCGAACGAGCGAGCGAGCGAGCGAGCGAGCGAGCGTTCACGGGACCAGCAAGCAAAGGCTCGTCTCGTCTATCTCCATGGGGAAATGTGCTCGCGAGTGCTTCTCTCTGGTGTGCGGCTATTTTTGTGTGGTCGACTCCATGGGGTGGGTGCAGCAGTGGTGCAGCGTCACGGGGCCTCCTTTGCCAGCACCAAAATATGGGAATAGGTTTTCCCAATTTCCTTCTGGAAACAAAACAGGTGTGTTAAAATGTTAAAATACCAAACTGAAACTTTTTACAAGGAATCATGGTGTCTGCATTTACCACAGTACTTGTGGTCAGAATGCAAACACAAAACATACTCTGATAATATATGCACTGTCTTTGGAACTGATTGGTCCACACCAGAGACGAGTTTCAAATGGTGTAGACCAGAGATCTAACACCATTTGAGACTAGGCTCCAAAGAAAGCTGTCTCTGGTGTGGACCAATCAGTTCAAAAGACAATGCATATATTATCAGAGTGTTTTTGTTGTGGTTAATGCAGAGATGATTCCTTGTAAAAGGTTTCAGTTTGGTGTTTAAACATCTTAACACCTATAATTGGTTATTTCGGTAAAGTTACGTAGAAGGGAAATAATAAAATAATACAAATAAAACAATAAAATTCTCACGACGTTTCGATTGCAACACAAGCAAACATCATCAGGTGTGAAAACCATAGCAAGAAAATTTAAAAAAAACCCGCCACTTTTTTTCAAATTTCTTGCTGTGGTTTTCACACCTGATGATGATTGCTTGCGTTGCAATCGAAACGTCGTGAGAATTGTATTGTTTTATTTGTATTATTTGTATTATTTCCCTTCTACGTGACTTTACCGAAAGAACCAAAAATATGAATATCTGCAGTCACGAAAGCTTTAAATAGAAATCTTAACACCTGTTTTGTTGCCAGAAAAAAGTGGAAAACCTATTCTCATATTCAGTGGCGCGGCGGTCAGCGAATCGCGCTACGAACTCGACGGCCAGAAGTTGGATTCCCCATCCATGCCTAGAATCGATGGCGAGTGATTTTATAGAAAAAAATACGAACCGTTCCTGGGTCCCCCACTTCCCCAAACTGCATTGACCAGCAAGGCGAAGTTTGGCCAAACAAACCCTATGACTGAAGCAGCATGGGGGGGGGGGGGGGGGGGACTTCATTCGGCAGTGCATTGACAAAGGCCTGTGAATGATCATCATTGCTCGTTTACAAACACTCGTCACTCGTTCAATCAACAGGCTGACCAAAAAACCAGCGAGCTTCACGTCCCATTTGAGCCCTTGAACCGAAGGAAACGTAAATCTATCTCTCTCTCTTGGCGTTGGTCAAACAATCACCGAAAATATGCACACGTGGGTATGTGTGTATGTATGTATGTATATTGAACTTCTTTCGCACCGTACGTAGCTAACCGGAGGTGCGAACACGCTGCACGCCTGCAAATGGCCGACTGTGTTCTGTTTAGCTTCCGTATCATCAAGTCTTGAGTCTTCATCCTCCCGACATTGACTCCACCACTCATGGGGTCTGCCAATGGTTCGACCATCAAACCGAATCGAGGACCGGGGCGTGGCTCCTTGCGGCCACCTGATGCACAAATGGCGCGTCCAAAGATTCGGCAGCCTGCAAGAGCTGCCACAAATCCCGACCGTCGTCGGCATCGTAAAAAAAGACACTCGGCTGTGCTTCACTCCTTTGAAGGAGGAATGGACGAGATCCCACTCTGCTTCTGAACAAACACTTGGGTGGATAACAAATCTAAAATTACATCTTTGATCTACCGTTATTAATCCGTGCGAAAGAAGATGGGGGTCGATCTTCTGGGTTCTCTCTCCCAACTCATTCCTGTCCTGGGTCATGGTCTGCACGTCCACTCCACAGTCCTTAATATCCTTGGCTCACTACTTGGAGCCACCACTTACTGGCTCACTACTTGGAGCCACCACTTACTGGCTCACCACTTACTGGCTCACCACTTACTGGCTCACCACTTACTGGCTCATCACTTCTGGCTCACCACTTACTGGCTCACCACTTACTGGCTCACCACTTACTGGCTCATCACTTCTGGCTCACCATTTACTGGCTCACCACTTACTGGCTCACCACTTGGAGCCACCACTTACTGGCTCACCACTTACTGGCTCACCACTTACTGGCTCACCACTTGGAGCCACCACTTACTGGCTCACCACTTACTGGCTCACCACTTACTGGCTCATCACTTCTGGCTCACCACTTACTGGCTCACCACTTACTGGCTCACCACTTAATGGCTCACCACTTACTGGCTCACTACTTGGAGCCACCACTTACTGGCTCACCACTTACTGGCTCACCACTTACTGGCTCACCACTTACTGGCTCACCACTTCTGGCTCACCACTTCTGGCTCACCACTTGGAGCCACCACTTACTGGCTCATCACTTACTGGCTCACCACTTACTGGCTCACCACTTACTGGCTCACCACTTACTGGCTCACCACTTCTGGCTCACCACTTGGAGCCACCACTTACTGGCTCACCACTTACTGGCTCACAACTTACTGGCTCACCACTTACTGGCTCACCACTTAATGGCTCACTACTTAATGGCTCACCACTTACTGGCTCACCACTTTGAGCCACCACTTACTGGCTCACCACTTACTGGCGCATCACTTACTGGCTCACCACTTACTGTCCCACCACTTAATGGCTCACCACTTAATGGCTCACCACTTACTGGCTCACCACTTGGAGCCACCACTCTCTGGGCCCTGCCTCTCACTTCCTGTCACGATGCTTGAATGTTCAGCAGCGTTCTTGAGCGGTGTTTTTTCATCGTTTGTTTATTCGTACGCTCAACTAAGTAGCTCTTTCTCAATTTATTTGAACGCCACATTTTTTGTCGGCAGTTTACAAGCAGAGAGAGAGACACGCGCGCGCGTGTATGTGCCGATACTTTATTGGTTTACCAAATACTAATTTATATGCACGAGGATACAAGACGTGTATAACACACACCATAAATATTCATTTGAAAACAAAACAAACCAAAAAAAATTGTAATAATAACAACAATAATAATGATAAGTCGGTATGCTGTGCAATTGTGTCTTGAACATTAAACAATTTGTGTCTGTAAAGTCGCAGGTGCCTCTCTCACCGGGGCTGCCATCCACGGCCCTCCCTCGCTCGTTCCCGTCGCTTCTGATTGCCGAACGTTTCATAAAGCATCGCAAAGTGGCTGCAATATTCATTGGTTTTTCTCTTTTATTTTTACGTTGCACGTGAAGAGAGCTTCGGCGGGTGGTGAATCGTTGTGTACACGCTCAGGGTGTTTATTCATCAAACGCTGGTTTTGTATTGTGTGGGTGTGCGTGTGTGTGTGTCTGTGTCTGAGCGTGTGGGGAGCGGTAGAGTAGCGGTTAGCCAAGTTGCCGTGAACCGAGTTCGATTCCCGCTCGCAGGCCAACACCAAGTGACGATTGTTTGAACCGGTCCTGGGCCTCCCCTAGGTCGACTCAGCCTGAAATGAGTTCCTGGTGTGATGTGTAAATATCGCCACTCGGGAGACAAAGGCGGCTGGGCGTGGTGTTGGCCACCCACACCCCCCTGTGCCGTGCCTTCATAGGTGCTGCTCGCTAACAGCACTTGCCCCCACAGCCTGTTAAGGCTATATGGGGGATCTTTGCATTTGTCGTGTCGCTCGTGTACGATTGAGTGGAATTGGCAGACTCTCAACGAGCCAAAGGCGCCTAAACAAGATGAGTCTGTTGTATATCAGATGGGACGGGCGGATGCTGTATTGGACACGGCGAAGTGTCTCTATCAGATTAAGAGGCCCCTTTTACCCAACGCGATGACACGCATGGGGTTGTATTGGATGCAACATTGGGCTCGTGGGCAAGAGCTCGATGGGTTTTTTTTTTGCATCGCAAGGAAGTGGGGAAGATAGTTGACAGCTTGGGGTGAGGCTGATGATGAAAGCTTCTCGATCAAAGATTCCGCAGCGAATGAAATGAGAGTTCTGTGCCCGTTTTCGACTGGGACTCTGCATTGAACAGGATAAGGAGTTTGCATCAGACGATACACGTGCTCTATATCACGTGTACATTCACCGCATGAGACTAGGGTTCTGTATTGGATAGAATAACTCGACGACAGCTCTCTTGAGGATGGGATGTGAGTTCTTCAGCCGACTGAATGTATTCTCGTGGATGCATCAAGGCGTTTGGACCAGCTGAAAAGAGGCGGGGGGGGGGGGGGGGAAGGGGGTTCGCTATTATTATATGGGGGAAAAGTTTATGTTCTCAGAATGTTACGAAGCCCTCGTTCACCAGAGGCATTTGCAAAGGGTTTTAAATGATTACGAATTATTAGTAAAGATTATCTATGGAATGTAGTGAGGATTCCTTTCCCGATGGGATGACGCTTTTGTCTGCTATCATAGAAATTCGTTTTATATAGGATGAACTAATGGTTCATTATCAGACGGGATGAGGATGGTTGTATATGGGTTGAGACAACAAGAATTGGGAGGCCAGGTTCTGTGCAGAGCAAATTTGGTCATTGAGATGCAGTGTTCACCAATTCATCAATTCCCATCTGCCAAAGCTACCATATGTCGCGGTTTTTTTTTGCCAGTCCCAGTTTCAGAAAGGCTGCCCTGGTGTCCCAAAGCATTTGTGAAATTTGGGATTTTTGTCCCGAGTTTGCATTTTCTGATATCACGCTCCACACGTGCTATGGACATAGGAGGGGGGACCTACCTGAGTGTTGGTTGGCAGATGATTAGGCGTTGGCCTATAAACAGTAGGCGGGCGGGGGGGGCGATGTCATTACAAGAGAAGTCGCGTGGTGTGGACACTGTGCTAGTGACTCAGTGGGAACGGCTGCGTGAAAGTGGGAGGGCTTTAACGGAGCGAGATGGCCTGCCGGTCTCACCACGTGTCTCGGTCGAGTCTCCCAGAAGTGTGGCAACTTTTACCATCCACGCCATTCCAAGTCGACCGACACATTTTGTTGTGTTTAGTGTGACTTCAACCGGCGACTTCGAGACTCGATACTGCAGCTCCTTTGGTTGCGGCCACGGACGATCACGAGAGGCCGTCTCGTGCGTCCGCCGCAAGTCAGCTCTCCGCTGCGAAGCTGAGCTTCGATGAGTAGACTTGTCAATGATTCACCGTGCCAGCGATTTGATGAAATATCATGATTCGGGAGAAGGGGGGTGGGGTCTGGATTGGATTCACGAGTGTATAGATTGTTTCTGTTGGGTTTTTGTTGTCTTGTTTTCAGCATCCCATTTGTATTGTTTCTCGGGGTTATTATTCCTCTCTATCTCTGTTTCGTTTGTACTGTTTAGATTGCCGCATTGGTCTACGTGTAGCGTGAGCGTACATTTTTTCTTTTCCATTCCATTTGCAGAAACCGTAACTAAATTGGTTCTTGCGCGACACGATTCAATGGACCGTGAGCATAGGAATCGGTGCTAACCCGAATAATCTCTGCATCGTGAACGAGCCTGATGACGAGGGTGGCCGGTGATTGGCGGGCAGGTCTCCATGATACGAAATGGCTCACAAGTTACCTGTAGGTATATCACTATAAACAATGAGGTAGCATAACAAATATACATATACCGATTTAACAAAGAAAAAAAACAATTGTACTCTCTTAAATAAATAAAGACGAACATTTCTGAAAAAGTCGAGGTTCTTTTTTTTTCTTTCTGTCTGTCCAAAGTTCCAAACATAATAATTATAATTAAAAAAACACAAGGTAAAAAAAAGGAGTCTCTATTATAAATAATGATTCTTTCACTAGAAACGAAACGTACTGGCCACGTCTGCAAGTTATCAAAACATGTACATTAATTATTATAAAGAAATAAATACAGACTTTGAATTTTGGTGTAACACTGATTTTTTTCCATTCCCCTCTCTTCTCTTCCTCCACCTGTCCCTCTGCGTCTGTCTCGGCTCTCCCCCCCCGCCCCGCCATGTGCCTCGGGATCCAAGCGGACTCTGCGAGCTACAGCGTAAGCAATGAAACCGGGAGGAATATGGAGCACCGGCCGGAAGATTTTTTGACGGAACGATCGGCGCACGCGCAGGGCTGCCGCGGTGGTGGTGGTGGTGGTGGTCGTGGTGGTCGTGGTCGTGGTGGCCGCTGCTGCTGCCCAGGCCACTTAAACGCACGGGGTCAGTCGGGGGGCGAATCCACACTCGGATGATGGCTTTGGAGTTTGGAGGTTTCGTGGTAAAAACGACGCGAACAATGTTAGTCCTTTATATGTTACATAATAATAATAACGTGTCGCTTGCGTGCGGGGTGAGGGGGGAGGGGGTTTGGGGTTATGGGGGCGGGGGAGGTTAAAATTGGTTTGGAGTGAAGCCGTCTTGGCCCAGGACTCGTGCCGTCAATGAGGCTCGCCTGCCAGCGCGTGTTTACCTGGTTAAAAAAAGAAACGGGGGGGGGGGGGAGGGGGTCAAGAGGTTAAACACGGAGCCTTGTGAACGAGTTCGGTAAGGTAGAGATGAGGGCGTGCTGGGTTTGCGTTTATTGTTCGTTAAAGCTTACAGTTTCTCCGTCATGATAACAGCTTCTCGAGTATTACAATCATCAGAAGAATGCATTTCCAATGACTAATTTAGGCGTTTTCTGTCCTTATAGCCTGCATCTTTTCCTCTCCGCCCCCCCTCTATTCCCTTGTCTCTCGAATTCCTTGACCTCTCCTGACTCTCCCGTGTCCTCCCTTTCCTCTCCACACCCCCCCACCCATTCCTCAAAAATGTCTCTCAAAAAATCTCTCGCCCTCCCTTCTAAATCTCCCTTCTCGTCAACCTTCACTGCCTCCCGCGTGCATTGCCCGTCTCGCTCCGCACACCTCCCACAGATATCTTTACATCCCCCCTCCCCCCATCGCAACCCTCGCCTCTTCTTCATCTTACCCCTCCTCCCTCATTACTCCCCTTCCTCCTCCTTTCTCCTCATCCTCCTCTCTTCCTCCCCCTCATCCCTCCCTCCATGCATTCCCCTCTTTGCCCCCCCACCCACCCACCACTCCACCTCCTTCCCATCCTCGAATTCCCCGTCCCTCCCTTTCCGTTCTCCATCCCCCCCGCTCAGCCCACCCCCGACCTGCTGTTGCAGGAGCCCGGGTGCGCGACGGCGATGGCGCGTCCCCGCAGGCAGGCGGCGCGCCGCAGGTGGCACAGGCTGGCGTAGGTGCGGCCGTCGCGCGAGCACAGCGCAGCGTCGGGCCCGCTGGCCTCGCGGCACGGGCGGCTGCCGCACTCGACGCAGTGAGCAGCGCCGCTCTGGTCGAGGACGCACGACGCCGAGCCGGAGCACTGCACGTCGCGGCACGACTCTGTGGTGGAGCCCCCGGGGTCGTGTGTGGGTGGGTGGGTGGGTGAGGTGAGTGAGTTAGTGTGGGTGAGTTAGTGTGGGTGCGTGTGTGAATGGGTAAAACGCGTGAGGAGTGGGTGAGTGCGTTGAGCAGATAAATAAATAGGTGAAGGGGTCAGTGGATACATGGATGATTGTGTGGGTGGATGTGTGGAGGTGATGGATGGGTGGATGGTGGGGTCAGAAGGGTGAGGGGTGGATGAGCAAACGGAATTAATGGCTGAACATTAATTAGTCCACCAATATACTGCAGGAATAAATGTCACCAAAGTTGGCAAAAACTACTCACTCACAATTTCTATAAATAGTCATCTAATTGTTGCTCGTCGTGGTTATGATGGAGACATCGGTGGGTTTTCACCAAGCGTCAGATCAAAAGCAAGGTTCAGCAACGAGACGTGGATTGGGCATTTTCCACAAGCGGGTTGTGTACACAACGCTATCAAGGCAAGGTAGTAGCCCATCCACCCAAACACGCGACAGTGGGCCACTGAGTCGTGTCAGTGGTCCACCCAGTCGACTGATGGGTGGCGGGCTCCTTCAGTCCGGGCCACACTCCACGCTGTGGCACGTCGTGTGTGGGGGTCAGTCGTTTGGTGGATCGGTCAATCAGTCAGTCGGTGGGTGGGTTAGTCAGTTGACGGGTCAGTTAGTCAGTCGGTGGGTCAGTCAGTCAGTGGGTGGGTTAGTCAGTCAGTGGGTGGGTTAGTCAGTTGATGGGTCAGTTAGTCGGTGGGTGGGTTAGTCAGTTGGTGGGTAGGTTAGTCAGTCAGTGGGTAGGTAGTCAGTTGGTGGGTCAGTTAGTCAGTCGGTGGGTCAGTCAGTCGGTGGGTGGGTTAGTCAGTCAGTGGGTGGGTTAGTCAGTTGGTGTGTCAGTCAGTCGGTGGGTGGGTTAGTCAGTCAGTGGGTGGGTTGTTCAGTTGATGGGTCAGTTGGTCAGTCGGTGGGTCAGTCAGTCGGTTAGTTGGGTAGTAATTTGGTGGGTCATTCAGTCGGTGGGTCGGTCAGTTAGTCAGTGGGCGGGTTAGTCAGTTGATGTGTCTGTTAGTCGGTGGGTGGGTTAGTCAGTAAGTGAGTGGTTTAGTCAGTTGGTGGGTGGGTTAGTCAGTTGGTGGGTGGGCTATTTAATTGGTTGGTCAGTCAGTCGGTGGGTGGGTTAGTCAGTGAGTGGTTTAGTCAGTTGGTGGGTGGGTTAGTCAGTTGGTGGGTGGGTTATTTAGTTGGTTGGTCAGTCAGTCGGTGGGTGGGTTAGTCAGTCAGTGAGTGGTTTAGTCAGTTGGTGGGTGGGTTTGTCAGTTGGTGGGTCAGTCAGTTGGTGGGTGGGTTAGTTGCTGGGTCCGTCAGCCGGTCACAAGGTGGGTGGGCTCAGTCAGCAGGTAGTTCGGCGAATCAGTGAGTCAACATCAGCGAGTCGGTGCGTGACAACGTGCCCCCCCTCCCACCCCCGTACTTCTGCATTTGCCCTGGTACTGGACGTGCAGCGTGGTCTGTCCAAGGCGGCAGCGTGCTCGGAGTAGCGCGCACTCGTGCCGGTACGTCTGCCCGTCCGAGCCACACACGGGGCCCCTGGGGGCCGCCGGCGGAGCGGCGGGGCTGGTGCTGGAGCCGCCGCTGGTGCTGCCCGTGGCACCGCGCGGGCACTGGGGCGCGCACACGCAGCGTGGCCGGCTCCGCCGGCTCAGCTTGCACTGCTTGCCCGGGCCGCACTCGACGCTGTCGCACGTCTCTGCACGACGACCGCAAAGGACGACGACGAGGATGGAGGTGAACGACGAGGACCAACGACGGCGGCGAGAGCGAAGCGTGTTCGCACGAAGAGAACAACAGCGGGCAATGAACGGCAATGATGATGGTGATGATGATAATGATGAAAACACACTACAAACATCAGCGATTCACGGGCATGAACAACAGTGATAAACAACAACGCCAATAAACAACTATAAAACATCAGTGATGAAGCCAGCGCTAGCTACAGCATCAGCGGTGCCAACATTTCCACCGAAATATCTCAGCGAATTGGCCACTATTTGTATCTCAAACGCAAATTTAAAAAGTTTGCTTTTCGCGCACAGAAAACAGTTCAAGTCGTTGTTGTATCACAGTTGCTGAGCACAGTTCCAGAATCCTATGAGTCCATGAACAAAGAGCAGGATTTGGTAACACCTAAGGTCACACAACTTTAGAGGCACTGATGTAATTTTACGGCTAATACAGAGTCAATTACTTTGATTAACCCCGCTCATTTAAAATGGTGATCACATAATTCACTGTTGTTGTTCACACAAATTGGAACTATGGCATTTATGGCCACCTCAACTGTTACCCATTAATTAAATATCTCGTCTGGGCTCATGGGACTAATAAAGGGAAATCGTGCAACAACACAGAGCACAAAACATCTTGGCAGCGAAATAAAGCCACGCTTTTCTTGATTTGAACAATTCCTGGAGTTCCAAAGCCAGAAGGGACGAATGATAGTACACCAACACGTTTGTTATTTATGTATGCTTTGATTCGGCAAGCGTACAGGAACTTGGGAGATGATGGGACGGAGGAGCTCCAAAACCAAGAAGTGCGAGGAAACAGGGAGGTTGTAGGCGCATACGTCATGCGCATACGCACGCCTAGGTCGCGTACAAAGACAAAGATCACCCGTATAGCCTTAACAGACTGTAGGGGCAAGTGCTGTTAGCGAGCACCTATGAAGGCCGGAACGGTACACGAGGGGGTGGGTGGCCAGCACCACGCCCGACCGCCTCTGTCTCCCCAGCGGCGATGTTTACACACTCGGGTCGCCGGGTTCGTAGCGCGGCGCACTCACCGCTACACCACCGCTCCCCACACACACGCACGCACACACGCACGCACACACGCACCCGCACGCACGCACGCACACACACACACATGCGCGAGCGCGCCACGTACCCTTGCAGGGCTGGCAGTCGGGCGCGCCCTTGCTGAACACGAGCCATCTGAAGAGCAGGCCCGACGACACGTCCTGCCGGGTCCACGCGGTGCCCGCGCGACCCCCCCTGCAGCATTCCTCGCGCGACACGGCGCTCATCAGCAGTCCCTGGCAGCGCCCGTTGGCTCCCTGCTGCAGCCAACAGTTCCCGGCTGCGGCCACGTGGAGGGGGCAGGGTGTGGTGGTGGTGGGGGGGGGGGCAGTGGAGTGGGTGAGTCGGTGTTTCAGAGTCACGCTTGAAAGCGCTCGTGGCATTAGCTCTGCCCGTCCGTCCGTCTGTAACGTGGTGACGGGGCGCCGTGAACGAAAGTTGAATACAGAGTTGTGTTGCCAAGGCCGTAATTATAATATATATATTGGGGGAGACACATACCCCCCCCAATATTCAAATATGCTCAAAATCTCCCCTCAATATATTGTGGTTATGGTTGTACTTTATTAATCCCTAATCTCTGCCATTACATACAATGAAACAAGAAAAGGTAAAAAAGAAAAAAACAGAGCAATGTAATACAATAATACACTATTAGACATTATTGTAAAAAAGAAACAAAAAGTCCATCCTATGTGTTAGTGAATTTTTTTAATATTCTAGGCAGGAAATTCGTTTTCAATTTAGATTTTTTTTCTGGGGGGGGGTGGACCCCCAGACCCCTGGAAGATTTGGTCCCCCCCCAATGTTGACTCCATGGCTAGGGCCTTGTGTGTTGCTATTAGGGACTTATTCCATTGAAAATCAACAACATTGATCCAAGGCCTAGTGCTAAGATAGAGAAAAACGCACGACGCAAATACGCAAGTGCACATCGCCCGGATAGTAATCAGGTGACGTCCATGCTACTAATTATATCCTCGCGAAGGAAAACGCACGTGATGAAGTGTTACGTAATCAATGAGTGCACGTGATCTTTCCTAACTTGTTTAACTTGCGGCTGTTGCATTCATTGCTGCTTGTTCACTATGCATGCGAGGACTTGTGAGTGCTTTTCAAATGACACCACAATAATAATTTACTGCCTTTGTCATTGACGGTCTCCCCATGCCATATTGGACATGGGGATTGATGGACTATACTTCTCCGCACTGGGTTAGTGCCAAAGGAGGTCCAGGACCGGTTGATATCCCTCACCACTGATGCCAACCGTCTCCAGGAATCGGACTCGGCTGGCTGGGTTCAGAGTGCACTGCGCCACTATTCCACCCAGCCAATATATATTCTTGTTAAAATCTAAGTTATATTTTAAAAAATTCACACCACTCGACTGTTAATTGTTGAGCGTTTTTTTGCTTTGCTGTGCTGTCTTGTGATGTTGGTGGAGTAAAATCTGGTCTCATCTTCCCACTCAAACGAGCATGGGGGGCGGGGGGGGGGCGAGAACCACCACTGCTGTTGGCCCTTCGCCAGCTGTGGAGATTCCACATCAAAGAGGGCCATTTGATCCTTGGGAATGCCACTGTTGACTTCCCACAAAGCGATACTTTGCTTTATCCACCGTGGACAGATGATGGGGTGAGTTGACCTCTGACCGGGATCTGAACTCGTAGCCCTTTTGTGTGTAAGAGAGGGCACACTTAGCTGGCGATTGTTGGTTACGTTTAGATATCAATAATATCAGGGGCGCCACGGTAGCGAGATATTAACTACCCCGCCTGGGATACAAGAGGTTGTGGGTTCGATCCGGACCCTGACGCCTGCTGTATATTTGGAGTTTGCGGTGTGTTGCTCTCTCCCCCGTGGTGGCGTGAATTTTTATCCGGGTCCTCCGGTTTTTCCCTCCACATTTAGAAACATGCGTTTAGATGATTTGGCTGCTGCTAGAAATGTCCACGTGATAAGCCACTTCCTTGAGCTATCATTTCTGGCCAGGTCGCTTCTGAAAAAGAGCCGTATAGCTCAGTGGGCTTTACCTGGTGAAATATATTTTTACATTTTATTTTAGTTTCTCGTCTGTTCGGTCTCAATTGCACAGTCGTGTCCACTCTATTCAGAATCTTTATTCCAGAATCAGAATCTTTGTTATCGTGAAGGAAGTCGATGAGCTATCAAGCTCTTTTTCACAGATGTCCGGAAGGGGCGGATCCGCGAGTTACAACCACAAACAAGACAAAAAAACCGATAGGAGTGAAAAATAGAGAAAAGGTAAGCACGTCATTAAAAATGAAGGACAAAAGTATAAATTGCATAAGTACAAAAATTCCTGCCGATTTTTCAACAACTATGCCAACGCACAGTCCCTCAATAAAATCGCACGTTAAAATGTATGAAATTTGCACACGTGTTATTGGTACATTGGTTATTTTCGTATAGTATATGCTGCGTGTAATGGATTAACTTGATCCCTTCAGCCACCAGTGGCCGTTGCATTCACCACAATGTAAAACATATAGCCAAATCTTGAAGTCATGAATACAATCGAAACCCTGAAGGAAATCGCTACCGTTCATGGAATCGGTGGAGTTCGGGGTGCAGATAATCATTGCATCCAGAGAGTGTGTTTGACATGGCCTGCCAGGTGGAGTGCGGAGGGAGGGAGGTCGTGGAGAGAGGCAGGGAGATGGTTGAGAGGGGGATACTGGGGAGAAAGGGAGGTGATTGATGGAGGGAGATGGGGGGGAGGGAGATTATGAAGAGAGTTTGTGAAGATGCTTCCTTTCCCAAATGTTTACCATCACATGGCTCCACCGAAAAGGTCACTGTCTCCATTGAACTGGAGCAAAGGAGCAAACTTGAATTCAGCATTGGCTGTACACCCCCACGTCGTGAGATAATTGAATCCAGAAGCTTTGATCGTAGCTGCAAATTCTATACGAGAAGTTTAAAATCATTAAAACCGCAAGTGTCCATTTGAATATAATGGTCATGTCCGTCAGTCACTCGGGAAAGCCTCACTAAGTCTCATGACTGATGGGTTTTTTTCAGAGGGCCTTGCATTTGGGATATATGGTCAATTCCTTCAGTGAAATTGGAGTATGCCGAGAAAACCCCACCAACGCATACAAGAGGGTAACACTCACATCTCCCCACAGGTAAGAGTCAAGAATGCATTTCTGTACTGCCACTTTGTAGGGTCCAACATACAACACCTGTATATACTGTACTAAACGGGCTCCTCCTCCACTGTAATATTCAGCCCTTTGTTCAATCCGCTGCTGGATGAAGGCCTCTGAGCAGTGCAGGTTGCTGGGAGTGGGTGGGACAGAGGGCCAGTTCAGACACCGCTCGTTACTGATGTTGGCTGTGGCTAGGACGCAGTGCGCTAATAAGTGCGCCACCACTCCACCCCTGACCCCTACACATCCTTCATTCTAATTAATAAATATCTCGACCCGCATCTATCTAACGCAATACGCATAGTGGTATGTAATTAGCGTCCATTGCTCCGTTGTTTTCCATATGGATGTTTGCTTATTTAATTGAGATTTTTTTTTATTCGATAAAGGAATACAAAATTAACTTTTGATCGACACAATTAGATCTCCGCTGGTTTCGTGTTTTATGGCTCATCTGCGAGCTCGGATGACGCCGTTCTAGTGATGGCGTGTGTCTGTGTGTCATGTATACATTGAAGAGTGGAGAGCGGGTGGTGCAATGCTTGACGCACTGCACTGCGAACACCGCCGCCCGAGTTCGACTCACGAATATATAACATCAGTGGCGAAGTGCTTATTCTGAACTGGTCCTGGGCCTCCTCTAGGTCGATTCGGCCTCAAATGAGTACCCGGCGCGGTGTGTAAGCATCCGCATTTGGGGGGCAAAGACGGATGGGCATAGTGTCGGGCAGGCTACCTTCTCGCTAACAGCACGAGTGCCAACAGTCTATAGGGATGGGCCAGGCATCTCTCTACATACTGCACTGTGTGAATTGCGGGGATGGCAGCGTCTTGAGAGGCGGGATAGTTTCCAAGGATGAACAGGGTGAGCAGGTGGAAGTGATGGCTATTTTTGGACGTCTGTGAAAAATAGCTTCATAGCTCATCGGATTTCTCCAGGATAAATAAAGATTCTGATTCTGTATAATTAAATTGAATTCCCAATCCGAAGATAGGTAGAAGGGAGTGGATGCAAAATCATTACATTCCTAAAATCCTCCCAAACCAATATTATCAAATTTCACGGCTAAGGTCAATATTGCGGCCTCTAATCGCCGGAGGGGGTGACGTGAATCATGATCATCATGACGCACACGAGTAGATGATGCACGTATCACGAGCTTGATGATACATTCTAATCGATGTATAAGCTACATGTCTACCGATTAGACTCCCACAAAGGCACGTTGCGTGTGCGTACAAAGTCTGCACGTTTTACGCACGGGTTTTTTTCTGCATGTGTGTCCATTCTCGGGGTATTTGTTGTGTGTGTGTGATTGTTGTGTATACGTGTGTGTGTGTTTTACAGTTGTGGGGAGCGGTAGTGTAGTGCGATTAGCGCACTGTCTGACGAACTCGGCCAACCAAAGTTCGATTCCCGTTCACAGCCAACATCGGAGGCGAGTAACCAAATCGCTCCTGGGCCTCCCTTAGATCGACTCAGCCTCAAGCGAGTACCTGGTGCGATATGTCAAACATCAGCACTGGGGAGAGAATGGCTCGACTTGAAAGCGGTCATGGTCACACTAAACCCCTGGTGTGCCGTGCTGGTCTCCTTCACAGGTGCTCACGAGCAGCACTCTCCCCAGCAGTCTGTTAAAGGCTATACGGAGGACCTTTGTACTTTATTGCGTATGCGTGTGTGTATGTATGTTTGTGTGTGTGTGTTTCAGAGTCCCCGAAGTGGAGGGGGCGGGGGTGGTGGAGGGTTGTTGGGTTGCGGTATTTATAGACGCGTGTTGTGCGGCGCGCACTCGACGCTTGAGACTCGAGTGGCGTTCACAGCGACCGCCGCCGCGATGTTTACGCGCGCGCGGATCGGCGACGCTCTCCGCTGCGTTCGCTGCGCGCGTTTATCTCATTCACCCTGCCTAGCCTCTAGTCCCCTGTACGTGTGCGCGTGTGCACGTGTGTGTCGTGTGTGTGTGGGGAGCGGTAGTGTAGCGGTTAGCGCGCTGCGCTATGAACCTGGCGACCCGGGTTCCATTCCCGCTCACGGCCAACACCAGTGACGATTATGTGAACCGGTCCGGGCCTCCCCTAGGTCGACTCAGCCTCAAAT